GAAGCAATTAAAAAGGCATAGAACACACCTTTTTATCCACTTTATTCACCCACTGTTCACTTCTCCACTGTAAAAAAAAAAATCTATATTCATTTTTCTTAAAAAAATAACCTACCTATTATCTCTCTTGAGAATTCAAGCCTGCACATTTTTCACTTACCTCATTTTACTAAGGTATATGCAACCACTATAATTAAATGAAATGCTTTACGTGATTATGAACTATTGGTACATTCAATTGAAAGAATAGAGGAACTTAAAATACAGGGTTATATTTATGCTCAAGGTTACCTAGAATTTTTTTTTGGTGTTACTTGTTGTCCCCTGATATTATGCAGGTCACACATACATATGCACATACATGTACCAGATCTTTGCCACCATGAAATACACAAAATTTACAGAAAAAATTTTTTTAAAATTATAGGCAATTAGGCATTATAGCTTTACTGGTCTAAGTTGTCCTAAAGAGAATATTCTCATGGCCTCAGGATCTATAAGTCGGAATAAATCCTTGGGATCCTAGGAGTCCTGAGGATTCCAAAGATGAGGGTGGGGATAGATAGCTGAGAGTTTCTATCTTTACTTGTTTCTCATTTTATTGGTTTTAATATGTATCTCCTAATAAATTTCAGGTAACTAGATGCTATATAACATATATATTTTATTTAATATTTGCAATAGCCATAAAATTTAGCATTATTATTCTCTTTTTTTCAGATGTAGCAATCAAGACAAAGTAAAAAGCCTAAAGTCATAGAGTCAACTGTAGCCAGAGCTTATCTGGGTTCTGCAGCCTTTCATTTGTGTAGATTTAAATTTAGGTTTAAAAAAAAATACAAACAGGTGATAATTTCATGTAACCTTTTTAGGTGATTGCTTGCCTTCCATTTGCGTATTTTTTTCTACATTTTAGGGACATATTTCAGTTATTTATTAGTCAATTTGGTAATCAAAATCAATGATGTTGAGCAAAATCAGGTATCGTTGATTTCAAAATATTTAGAATTAAGATGTGGAGATAAAACATAATTACTTAAAAGTTGAATAATGATATAAAAATAATTCAAAACATTTTTAATGTCAAAGATATTGACTTTGTCATTAATTAGCAAGTTAATTATATGGGTAATTAACGTCATAGGAATTTGACTTTAAAAGACAGAGTCAAGACTTAATATTTCTACTATCTTTATGCAAATTCAATTAATTCATTCATTCAATGTTTTTGCTTGCCCACTATGTTTCAGGAACCTAACATGTGGAGATAGCTATTAATATGACAGGTCCTACCTACAAAGAATTTACAATCTATGAATTTGTCTCTGTGATTTTATGATATAATATGAGAAGTTCCATGATTGCTTTATGTCACCAATCTAGACATGGGAAATTCTGACAACAAAATAGCCATCAATGTTTGTGTACTTATCCAGATGCAATCACCAGCTAAACACCTTTCCATGTAGCACGTTGATTGCCTTTAGCTGAATATTCTTGCATTATCATATTCCAATGTTTTGACTTCTGCTGCTTACTAAGCAGGGAATTTTTCTCCTTCCATCTTTAATAATCAAAATCCTACATGTCCTAAAACAAACAATGTCAACCATCACATAGTAATGTAAACTGTTACAATCTTTCTGGAAAGGTGTTAGTCAACATACTATTCAAGGGCCTAGAGAATGTTTATAAACTTTGACCCACTTTCAGAGATTGTAAGGAAATAAAGAAATGTGTATAAATGTGTGAATCATAATAATATACATCATAGTGAAAAACTGAAAAAACTTGAATACAATGTGAAGATAAATCATCTTACTTTCTAGTACCATTGTCAGTACACTTAGTTTCTTCACTAAGTTAAATTCTATTTTAAGCCATGGCTTAAAATAGAAAGGAAGACAGAAAGAGAAATAATTTAAGTAGTGATGTTCATGCAGCTCAACTCATAGCCTTATACTATGGACTGAACATCTATGTCCCCGCCAAAAGTCATACTTTGAAACCCTAATCCCCAGGATGATGGTATATCAAGATGACACCTTAGGAAGTAATTAGGTCATGAGGTTGGAGGCTTCATGGTGGGACTGGCATTCTTACACAAAGAAACAAAAGAATGCTTGCTTGCTTCCTCTCTCTCTCTTCCTCTTTCTTTCTGCACTTTTGCCCCATGCCACTCCCCACCACCAGGAGAAAACCAGGAAGAGCCCTCACTAGGAAAAAAATCAGCCAGTACCATGACCTTAGACTTCTCAGCCACCAGAACTGTAAGAAATAAATGTCTTCTGTTTAATAAATAAGCCACCCAATCTATGGTATCCTATTGTAGCAGCACAAACTGAGACACTCTTTTATCTATATAAATTTATGTCCCAGAGAAAATGTAATTTGGGAAATAATTTTCTCTCATTTGGTAATCTTCCTCTAAGTCATGAGGTGGGATCTTCTTATCAATGAATGCAGCTTTATGGGCATTATTATATATTTATATATTATAAATTATATTATCTATTTAACCATCGAACTCATCTGGTATTCATTCAAATAAACAGTAATCAGTAATAAATTTTATTTTAGGTGACTTTTGTCTTACTTTTTAAAAATGTATTTATTTAGAGACAGGTTCTCATTCTATCACCCAGGCTGGAATGAAGTGGAGCCATCATAGCTCACTGTAACCTCAAACTCCTGGGCTCGGACAATTCTTTCACTATGACTTTCCAAAGCACTTAGGTTAAGGCATGAGCCACCATGTCCAGACTGTCTTACTTTTTAAGTTGTTGCCTTTACAAATGATACAACACCACAGAACACTAACATGATTAAATAGTATTCAGGCATTAAAATAGTATATTGAGAGAGAAAAAGAATTCATAAAAATATATCAAAGTTTATATATTATTGGGTAAGAAAAGAATTTTCCATATATGAGACTAAGGCAAAAAACCACAGAGGAAATATTTGACTACATAAAAATAAAAGGAAATTATTACATCGAATTACAAAATTTAAAACTATGCAATTAATTGTGAAAATACATGTATATATGATTAAATGGTTATTGTTCCCAAAATATAAAGAGCTTTGACAAGTTAATGAGAAAAATCGTGTACTCTGTTTTAAAAACATGTAAATGATAGGAATAGCCATTCACAAAAACATCTAGACAAATGATTAAAAAACAGAATGTAATTATTATAGTATTACTGATATTTATTTTTAATGAGAAAAGTAAAAATTGTCTATTTTTAAATGATATTACACAATGTTAGTGAAGGTATGTTACAAGTATCACATGCAAACTTGCTGATAGAAATGCAGTTTTTGAGGTCAACTTCTCAAGGACTAGCAAAAGTTTAAAATGTTCATAGGCGTTGATTCAATAATTTCATGACTATGACGATTTGTGCTCAGGAAATAGCATGGACATGCAACAAAGTTTGGCTATTTATCTTTCTATCCTATTGTTGTAATATAAAAAATTTGAGGAGAAGAGGGGAAATTCTAATGTCCAAGAATAGCAGCTTTCCTGTGTAAATGACGTGTCCAAAAGATAGATGAATACATGAACTTTAAAATTCAGTTTGAAAATAGTGTTTAATCTTCTTGTTAAATGAGAAAATATTTTCATAAAATAATTTTTTACTTTAGTTATTTAATGAATCTCTGGTATGTTCCTGACACTTTCCTAGCTGCTGGGGATATACAAGTTAAAGAAAATGAACAAACAAATTTCCGATGTTCACAAAGTTTACATTTCTTATAGGAGAAGACAGGCAATAAATAGTTGCTAGATACAAGACTACAGACTAGATACATAGATGGATAGATAGATAGATAGATAGAGCTAGTTAGGGCAAAAAATAAAAGCAGAGTAAGACAGATTCGAGTAAGTGGAGGATATAGGAATTGGGAAGCCCTCTGTTGTTTGTTTTTGTTGGAGAGTGGTGCAGGAGCTTAGTGTGCTCCAGGAACAGCACAAGTAGGCAGCCAACGGTAGGGTGAGAGAGCACATCCAGTTGTGATGCAGGATTTTTCGCTCCTTAGTTCAGCTAAAATCTAGATTCTTATCTCACGATCAGGAAAAATTAGGCAAGCAAACACATTGAAAGGTGAGGAGACCAGAATATCAGCAAAAAAAAAGAAAAGGGGGTCCTGCCAACAGGTTTCCACCTCACAGGTTCAATACCAAGCCAACACACAAGAGCTGAAGAGGCCAGGCTCCTCCCCCACTGCATAAGGTGGGAATCTCCTATGGCTCCACCTCATTCTCCCAGTACACGGGTGGGCCCTTAGGATGAGCCACTCCACATTGACTTATTTCCCTTACTGTGCATGTGTTAGATATGGAATTTTTCACCATGGGCATGCTTAGGCAAGTTCCCTGTTCACAATAACCCAGGTGACATTTGGCTGTCTCCGGTCTCTATCATTTGGGACTTCTAGACCTTGGTAACTTTTAATTTTTCTGTCACTAGAAGCAAATGGAAAATTATGAGAAGACAGTAAAATGATTAGCTTTGTTTTTAAAATGGTCAGATCTCCAATTTTTGTTTTAGACAGAGTCTTGCTCTGTAGCTCAGGCTGGAGTACAGGGGCATGATCTCGGCTCACTGCAACCTCTGCCTCCCCGGCTCAAGTGATTCTCGTGCCTCAGCCCCGCAAATAGTTGGGACTATAGGTGTGTGCCACCACACCTGGCTATGTTTTGTATTCTTAGTAGAGATGAGCCTTTGCCATGTTGCCCAGGCTGGTGTTGAACTTCTGAGCTCAGGTGACCCTCCCAAAGTGCTGGGCTTATAGGTGTGAGCCACAGCACCCAGGCCTCATCTCTCATGTAAAAAGCCAGTCAACAGATGATGGTGGCTTCCCATGGTGGTATCAGTGGAGGGATGAGAAGTAGATATGTTCTGGCAGATTTTAAAATAAACTCCTACAAGACTCCATATGTAACTATGCATTCAGATAAAACATAAAGAAAGGAGTCAAGAATATAGCTAAGGTTTTTGGACTGAAGAAACTGAAGGATAGAAAAGCATTTAATAAATTTATAGAGATGGGCAAGAGACAAGACATATACATATATATATATATATATCTTGTCAATTTATTAAATATGTTGTATATTCATGTTTGTGTATATGGAAATATATCTTATGCAAAAAGCCCTGGTTATATACCAGCCTTGATTATATCTACTGTTATAATTGCTTGCAGTGACTTATAGAACTCCTGACCACAGGGACTATGCTTTATTCATTGGAGGTGAGGACAGAGGTGAAATGTTGGCAGGGGAGTGGGTTGAGATCATAGTAAGTTTAATAGATCACTTCTAAGTTCTTTGACTTTTCTTCTCAAAGAGAAGGGATGATTTTCCTCTCAAAGAGAAGGGAAGAGGGATTTGAGCATAAGTAAAATGGTTTAGTTTGCACTTTAAAAGGAGTGCTCTTCTGCCTTATCCAAAATAGATTATAAAGGACAATGTAGAATCAGGGAGACCAGTTCAGAAGCTATTACACTGATCAGGAGGAGAAATGATTGTCATTGGAATGAAGGTGACAGCGGTAATGAGATTCTGGTTATGTTTTGATGGTCAGACAAATAAGATATTCTCAAAGTTTTCCCATGGAGCATGAGAAGAAAGGAAAAGTTAATTTATGACTCAGTTCTTTGTTGGATTAATTGGAAAAATGACTCAAATTTTTGGTCAATATTTGGAAAAATAAAGTTTCATTTACTGAGATTGGAAAGGCTAAAGAAAAAGCAGGTTTATGACTGAGATAGAGACCATCACAGATTTGTATTTTAATATGTTAAGTCTAAAATACCAACTGGACAGCAAAATAAGGATGTTAAGTAAGCAGTTAAGACATACAATTCTGGGGTTCAGATGAGAGGTCCAAGTAAAATAATTAGTTGGATGTTGTAAAACATAGATGGTATTCAAAGCCAAGGAAGGAGGTATTCTGAGGATTGAGTCAGGAGCATTCCAAGGTAAATAGTTCAGCGATGAGGAAGGAAACCAGGAAGAAAGGTCCAGAAGAAATGATCAACAAGGGAGAAGGAAATCTAGGAAAATGTGCAATGTTATGGAAGCCAAGAGAAGAAAGTTTCAGGGTGAGTGAGTGATCTGCTTCGTGTAATGTTTTAATTGGGCTATGTAAGATTGGAAACAGACCATAGAATACAGCAATATGGTAGTTAATAGGGACCCTTAGAGAAGCTGCTGAGGTGGATTGTTGGAGGCAAAAGCTGTTAGGATGGGTTTAAAAGGGAATGCGGATGTTCTCTAGGATAATTGATCTGTCCTTTTCAAAAATGTAATATGAGAGGCAGATTTGGTAAAGAAAATCTGATGATGCTGGATCAAAAAGAAACATTTCTATGTCTTTTACTATACAGATCATGAGTGGGACAATGGGTGAAATCTGAATGAGATATTTAGATTAGATCATAATAATTTTATTGATACCAGCTTTTTATAATTGTACTGTGGCATGGAAAAGAAGGCCTTTGTTTAAAAAAAAATACATGCCAAAATTTCTGTAAAAAGCATCATTTCAGCAACTTTCTCCCAAACGGTTCAGAGATACAGAAAGTTAATGTGGTCAGATACCACATTACCATTACTCTTTTAGTATTACTTAAGAAATCTGATGAAAATTGTTTGTCCTACATTTTCAACCTTTTTATAAGAATAAAATTATAAATAAAGTAAAAAATTAAGATACTAAAAAGAAAGAGATACAGAGGATGGGGGGGTATATATGAAGGGAGAAAGACTCAGTAGACTGACTTGGGTGCATCTCCTTTTCCCTTTCATAACTTTCCTGCTAGCTATTTTCTAACATAGTGAGCAGTCTCTTCAATGTATTTCTTTCTCTAGCTATACCAGTGGGTGTCTCTCTCTCTCTCTCTCTGTCTCTCTATCTGTTTTAACAATTTTTTTCTATTCCTTCTATTTTGAAAGTACTGTAATGCTAAAGTATTAATACTTTAGAGTATTTACTGTGTGTAAAAAACCTAATTTCTCCTGTATTTTCTGAGCCAGCATGATTCCTATGTTTTAATTCTTTAAATTATTTTCTTAATCTTTTTAGTTTAAAATTAACTTATTGAATATTTCTCTTCTTCAATCTAAAAGCGTAATCTATAATTACGCTCATCATTACTTTGTATCTGCCCATTAAAAAAAAAAACCCTCATCATTCTGTTATTGAGGCCATTCTCAGTGTTGCTGAAATCTAAATTCGTGGTCAGAACTCATGAAATGAACAGATCCAAAGCCAGCTAAGTAAATCTCTATATGAAGAGGGTTCCTAGGTCTGTAGATAAGCCACTGGAATCTAAGAGTTTATAATTATTGCAGTTGCCCCTCTGAGCCCTGAAAATATAGGTATGGTGTTGGAGAAAGTCAAGCATTTGTAATTAGAAGAAAAAGAGAATCAGGAGTTCTCTAAAGGAAGCTGGGTACCCTTCTAAAAGATTAGGTTTAGTCTATTAACTAACTTTGATAGTTTCCAAGCAGGAGACTAGTTTCAAATCTGAGTCATAGAAAAATAATTCTGGTGACAGTGTGAAGAATAGCTTGGAAGAGAAATTTTAGGACAGAGACATTCACTGGAATTTTAATGCAGACAATGAGGTATAGTTCATATGAGAGAAAATGGGATCTGGGGTGGTAAGAAAATGGAGCACACAGAAATGGGTGACTTTGATCCATGAGAGTAGATAACAAATGATTGTTCTTCACAATAGAATAAACACCGAACTTCATTTCATTAGTTTGCTAATGCCTTTCCCCTGCTGCATACATTAGCGCTGCTGCCTATTTATTTACGACAATGTATGCACACGGGCAAACCGATACCCCATTCCTGTCTCACTTAGAAGTGATCCCTAATCTTGTTTCCCCTGTCAATCAGAAACTTCTCCCAGAACTTAGTCCTATAGCATGAAACCCTTCTATACTTAAGCTCTCAATCTCAGGCCTGTCAAAAATTTCACTTCCCATAGAACTCCTTCAGCTTGAGAGATAGCATGAATCTGGAATGAAAGCTAGAAAGATCTCATACCTCCTGGTATAGAAGTAGAAATAGCATAATCAAAACTGAGTCAAAATCTCAGCTCTACCATTTACTCAATGAAGTTAAACTACATCTATTAGCTTCAGTCTTTTTTCTGCAATATGGTGCACCTAATGGATAACTGAGAGGCTTATTGAGAAGATTAAACGAGATAATTTGTAAAATACTCAGAATAATAAATAGCACACAAAAACCACTCAATAAGTGTTAGCCGGATATAATAATAGTAGGAACAGTAGTCATATTTATGTTAGCACTCTTGTTATCCATTGTTACCATGTATATTTAGAAATGGGGTTTTATCACTATACTGAGAACTCATGCCATGGCAATAGGAAATTTGATGAAAGCAATAATAATAGTTAATTTTGTAATGACTAGACCTCTCTTTACTGAGAACATGGATGGCTTAACTCATTAGCAAAATACCACATTCTTGTATTTGCAGGGGAGGAAAAACTTTTCTTGTACCTGCTTAGATCCCACGGTTGGGTCTGATAATTAAACTAAAAAAAAAAGAGATTAACAGAGAAAAGCATACAAATTTTATTTGATGTTAGTATTTTTACATATATACAGAAGCCTATATAAGAAATGAAGAGCCAAAGAAGCAGGTAGGCCTTAAAGCTTATACAAGCTTCTAACAGAGAATGACAATCTGTGGATATGTGAGAGGACGAAGTGAGAATGAGTTTGGATTAGAGGTGGTAATTGTAGGAAAGTGACTAGCAAATATCTGAGGAAAGCTAACAAATCATACGAGTTGTTTTAGTAGGTTTGTTCATATCAAACCTACTAAATAAGGTTTAAGGTGAGTAGATTGTTTCCCTCCTGGTACCTGACACTGTTCTCATGAGTAATTTTATGCTGTGCCTTTAGGCAGAAGTGGAAAGCTCAGAGAGCTGTTTTGTATCTACTGTTTCTCAGTTGCCTTCAGCTCAAAATAATCAACATGCCAAAGTAATGTATTATGGGGTGGCATGTTCTGATACCTTTCATGTTAACTGGATAAAATTAGAAGAAAAATAAGTATAATAAAAGAAAGATAACGTATAAGATGCTTAAAATTTACTATTATACTTGAGTAGGGTTTTCTACTTTGCTGTTATTTCTTTTTTTTATTATTACACTTAACCCTATACTGATAACAGCCTTACTTCATATTTGTGAATCCTGGAGTAATAAACTAACTCATCAGGTTAGAGACTAAGGTATTGGCAACACCTCAGGCCAAGCCTGGATCAGAAAAAAGCTTTCACGAAGATGATTTAAGATTCTGAAACAAAAAAATCTGAATCCCCTTTCTACCAGTTCCATTCCTCTCCCACTATACTAACATAAATTCAATCACAGCTTTTCTTTTTTTTTCAGTTTGATGTGGCTAATTTATTTGTGCTGTTTATGTTTCTTACCTGATCTTTTTTTTTTTAATTTCACTTTAGGTTTTGGGGTACATGTGAAGAACATGTAAGATTGTTGCATAGGGACACACAAGGCAGTGTGGTTTGCTGCCCTCCTCCCATCACCTATATCTGGCATTTCTCCCATGTTATTCCTCCCCAACTCCTCACTCCCCAATCCCTTCCCTAGTTCCCCCCGCCAAGGATCCCAGTGTGTGACGCTCCCCTCCCTGTGTCTATGTGTTCTCATTGTTCAACACCTGCCTATGAGTGAGAACATGTGGTGTTTTATTTTCTACTTGTGTCAGTTTGCTGCGAATGATGGTTTCCAGGCTCATCCATGTCCCTACAAAGGACACAAACTCATTGTTTTTGATGGCTGCATAATATTCCATGGTGTATATGTGCCACATTTTCCCTGTCCAGTCTATCATCAATGGGCATTTGGGTTGGTTCCAAGTCTTTGCTATTGTAAACAGTGCTGCAATGAACGTTCGTGTGCAAGTGTCCTTATAATAGAATGATTTACAATCCTTTGGATATATACCCAGTAATGGGATTGCTGGGTCAAATGGAATTTCTATTTCCAGGTCCTTGAGGAATCGCCACACTGTCTTCCACAATGGTTGAACTAATACAATTTTTCTTAACTACATGAACCCTGTGGTTCATGTAGCTTATCTTTGTGATCTTTACTATCTAATCTTAAACATGGATTAATTTGTTTCAACATCTCAGCACTCCATTCCAAATCTCAAACCTCCTTAATTTATATATATATATATATATGTATATATGTACTATGTATATATTATATACATATATATTCATTTCACTTTCTATTCTGTCTTCACAACAGATATCCAAGTACTGGATATGTGAGAGTGTGTGTGTGTGTGTGTGTGTGTGTGTGTGTGTGTGTGTGTTTCTTTTAAGTAGGCAATCTAACTCAACTAACTAGAATAAACGAGCAAAGGAAATGCAAACGGATGGTACTTCAAAGCATTCTGCTTTAACAAGCCTCTTCTCAGAGAATGAAAGAAGAAATATATTAAAAATTCCTTCAACTGATAAGCAAATTCAGCAAAGTTTCAGGATACAAAATCAATATACAAAAATCACTAGCATTCCTATACACCAACAAAATTCCAGCCAAGAGCCAAACCAGGAATGCAATCCCATTCACAATTGGCATGAAAATATTAAAATATCTTGGAATACAGCTAACCAGGGAGGTGAAGGATCTCTACCAGGAGAACTATAAATTGCTGCTCAAAAAAATCAGAGATGACACAAAAAAAATGGAAAAATATTCCATGCTCATGGATAGGAAGAATCAATATCATTAAAATGGTCATACTGCTCAAAGCAGTTGACAGATTCAATGCTATTCCTATCAAACTACCAATGACGTTCTTCACAGAACTAGTAAAAACAATCTTAAAAGTCATGTAGAATCAACAAAAGAGCCTGAAAAGAGATGTAAGCAAAAACAGCAAACCTGGAAGCATTATACTACTGACTTTAAAATATGCTACAAGGCTACAATAACCAAAAGAGCATGGTCCTGGTACAAAAACAAACATAGACCAATGGAACAGAATAGAGGGCCCAGAAACAAGGCCACATGCCTACAACCATCTGATCTTTAACAAAGTGGACAAAATCAAGCAATGGGGAAAGGACTCCTGATTCAATAAATGGTGCTGAGATAACGTGGCTAGCCATATGCAGAAGACTGAAATGAGACGCCTTTCTTACACCATATGCAAAAATCAACTGAAGATGGATTAAAGACAAGTTAAACCCCAAACTGTAAAAATCATGAAAGACAACCTAGGCAACACCATTCTGAACATAAGAACAGGCAGATTTCATGATGAAGACACAAAAGCCAATCCCAACACAAATAAAACTCGATAAATGGTTTCTAATTAAACTTAAGAGCTTCTGCATAGCAAAAGAAACTATTAATAAACACCCTAAAGAATGGGAGAAAATTTTTGCAAAGTATGCATCTGACAAAGGTCTAACATCCAGCATCTATAAGAAAGTTAAACAAATTTACAAAAAGAAAACAAACCCATTAAAAAGTGGGCTAATGGCATGAACAGACACTTTTCAAAAGAAGACATATATGAGACCAATAATAAGCATATGAAAACAAACTCATTATTACTGATCATTAGAGAAATGTGATCAAAGCCACAAAAAGATATTATCTCACAACTGATTCACTATTATTAAAAAGTCAAAAAATAATAAATGCTGGCAAGGTTGTGGACAAAAAGGAATGCTTATACACTATTGGTGGGAGTGTAAATTAGTTCAACCATTGTGAAAAGCAGTGTGGTGATTCTTCAAAGAACAATCCAATTACTGGATATATCCACACAGGAATATAAATCATTCTATCATAAAGACAAATGCACACACATGTTAATTGCAACACTATTTTCAATAGCAAAGACATGGAATCAGCCTAAATGGTAGACTGCATAAGAATCAACCATCAATGCTAGACTGCATAAAGAAAATATGGTACATTTATACCATGGAATACTATGCAGCCATAAAAAATAAGATCATGTCTTTTTCAGGAACATGAATGGAGCTAGAGGCCATTATCCTTTATAAACTAATGCAGGAACAGAATGCCAAATACCACATGTTCTCACTTATAAATGGAAACTAAATGATGAGAACTCATGGACACGAAGATGGAAACAACAGAAATTGGGGCCTACTTAAGGATGAAGATGGGAGGAGGGAGATAATTGGAAAAAAATAACTATTGGGTACTAGACTTAGTACCTGGGTGATGAAATAACCTGTTCAACAAACCCCTATGATGTGAATTTATCTATAACAAACCGACACATGTACCACTGAACCTAAAATAAAAGTTTTAAAAAAGAAAAGTTACCTGCCCCTCTCTGAGTTCACTGCTATTTTAATTATAGAATTCTTTGTAGTTATTAAGATTTTAAGTCAACAAACAAGCATTTTCATTTCCAAAAAAGAAGGCTGAAAAGAATTAGTCTGCTTTTAAAGGAAAGTCTAGCTGTTCTACAGAAGTGCAGCTTTTTCATTAGTCTTAACAAGGCCAGATTCAGGTAAATTCCATGCTGGTACTGCCAGCAATGTGGTCCAATGAAGAGGGTTATATCTGGAAACAGACTCACTAACTTGGGAGGGGTTGGATTATGAGGAAAAAATAAGTAAGTTACCCTCGGAAGAACAGTTTTTGCTACCTTGAAAACAGTTGTACCAGGTCATCTATCTTGTGAGGAAGTCATGAAATAAAAGATCAAGCTATAGTCTCTTCTAAAAGCAGTTTGATTTGCTGGTTATCATCATTTTAGGAGAATGCCCCTAATGTGATATATGGTACAGTTCTAATCCCAAAGGGAAAGAATGATGCCAGTCTTTTTGGGATGAGTGGTTAGAATTCTGGAACTTCAGCAAAATCAACCTATGAACATAAATTTAAAAAATACATATATTCAAAGTAATGAAGACCACAACACAAGAACAAGATGCTATAAAAAAAAAAAGGAATAATTCAGAGAACACAGAAAGAGATTCTAGGAATTAAGCATTTGGTAAATGAATAAAAGGCCAAGGTTGGAAAATAATGGTGAAAAAAAGTTGCCAGAGAGAAGGATAAGAGTACAAGAAAAAAAAAAAAAAACAAAACAGGATAGAAAAGGTTTTAAAAAATTAATTCATCACATCTTAACATCCAAATAAGAGTTTCAAAGCAGACAGAATCAAAGAGAAAATTATCAAAAGAAGACATCAGGAAAATTTCCCAGAACTGTTTAGCATGTGCTCTGAATGAAAGCATACACCAAGTTACCATACAATGAATGAACACCAATGACAAAGAGAAGATTTAAAAAGCTTTTACACTGAGAACCAAAATGGAATTTATATAAGAATGCGACAATTTGAATAAAGTTAACATCACAATGGTAATACTGGAAGTGAGAAGATATTGCTATGATTGCTTCAAAATTTTGAGGAGAAAATGATTTTCAGCTTAGAATTCTAATCTCAGCTAAATCATCAGTTAAGTATAGATGAAATATTTACTGATACATAAGCTTTTTTAAAAAGATAAACAAAAAAACTTTCCAGATATTTTTTCTCAGGAAGTTAGTGGCAGATCTGCTATATCAAAACTAGGGCATAAGCAAAGAAAAAAGGAAGACATTTCTTTCAGGAAATGAGGTGAAGTGATGCACAGATCGCACCAGGCAGACAAAAGTCACTTAGTCCAGGTTAAAGCAGTCACAGGATTTAGCAGATAGTTCTTCAAACAGAAGAAACTATTGAAAACCTAATATATGTAAGTATTTTGAGAGAATATTTAAACAAATTGGAGGAGAGTTTCAGCCTGAATTAGTGACTACTACATTAAAAACTAAAGAAGCAGAAACATGGCAAGTATTAAAGAACATATTGTGTTCCGTGGCTTAATTATATTTCATAATCAATATTATAGAAACACTCCTACTGACCTACTCCCAAATTAACATACAGCTGTCTTCAAAGGATAGAAAGATTAAGGGTGTTTCTATGTGGTGGTGGGAGCAGAGTGGTGGAAGAGGTAATGAAGGGTGAAAGATAGCTATTTCCTAACAGGAAGTAGTTTTCTGTTTCTGTGTATGAAATTACCACACATCGGCTACTTTCGCATAACTTACCAAATGTCTCAAGAAAAATACCATAACACCCATTTATTATAGTTTAGTTTCTGCCAGAAGTCAGAAACTAAGCTGGGACCTCTGCTTAGAGTATCACAAAGCTGCGATCAAGATATTGACTGTGCTGTATTCTCATCTGAAGAATGAGAATGGAAGGATCCACTTCTAAGATCTCTTAAGTTGTTGACAGAATTTATTATGTTGTTGCAGCTGCAGAATTCAAGACAGCTTTATTTTTTTAATGCAGCATGCATGCACATAACACACACACACACACGCACGCACGCACGCACGCACACGGAGAGATAGAAGTGCTCCAGTCACTTGCTTCTACACTTTCTTTTCAAAATCTTTTCTGATAAGGCCAGGCCCACCTAGGACAATCTTCCTTTTAGATAACAAAGACAACTCAAGAAGAGCTTTAATTGCGTCTGCAAAATCCCGTCACTTTGGCCATCTAATGTAACAAGCGCACAGGAGTGATGCTCCATAAACCTTGCCAAATTCTGTTGGTTAGAAGCAAGTTCCACATCCCTCCCAACTCAAAAGGAAAGGGATCACACAAAGGTACAGATGCTTGGGGGCAGGAATCATGAGTGCCATGTAGGAATTCTTCCTCCTACAGTAAGTAATTGCTAAAACTATAAAATCAAAAGTCAATATAGTTGTGTGAGTGTTTCAATATGGAGGTAATATCTAAAGAATCAGCTAAAATGTATGAAAGTAGTTGTGGATATAGAGATGTACACAGAACAAGGTTAATTAATTTTGTAATTATTTGGCTCTTTACACTATGTGCATGCCTATGTTGTTTCATTTTAACTGGATTTTATCATCAAATAATTGTAATGTGGTACTTGTATAGAAGATGCTTAAACTTTTCTCAAATAATAAAAAGGAATGAGAGCAAAAATAAAAAGGTGGGGGAGGCTGGAAAGCAATTCCTTTGAAAAGATATGGGAGTTTTTGTTGACTGTAAACTCCAAATAAGTCAGTAATGATGTATTGTTGCTATAAAATATTAGATACAATCTCAGGCTTCCATTCATAAAAATATGAATAAATGGGAAAAATAATTGTCCTACATTATCTTTCACTGAAAATTCCATATTTGAGATTGTATTCATTTCTAGGTCCCTAATTTAATTCTATTTTTCTGTTACTGTAACATTGATGGTTTATTTTTCTTAGGGAATCGATATGTGGTCTCCATAAAAAATGTTAGAAAATAGTAAAAAGGGGAAAATATGCAAACGATACTTGAAAACAAATGTCACAAACATTTCGGTGCTGATCTTTTAAGCTCTTTTCTCCATGTAGATGTATGTATATTGTATACATATACAATATACATAGTTTGGATGCTGCTTTTTTAACTTAGCATATTTTATAATATTTCTATTTCCAGACATGATAAAGAAACATGGACCAAAAAACTGTCATTTTTAAAACAACTAAAAACCAGACAACATATATGCAACAACAGTCATGATTTTGATGTCAGGCAAGAAGAAACAGTGATCCATGAGAGATAGGAAACAAACAGGAAACAAACATACAAGCCCTGTGATTGACGATCCTGCTGAGTAGAGAAAAGTTCAAAGCCACAGAACAAGGAAGAGGAACTCAGGAAGAACCTGGTGATTCTTTGAATGGAACTGAGAGTTCTTTCTATGAATCAGAGAAGCACAGACAGCTGGAACTTTGCGGGCAGGATTTTAGAGAAGCGTTCTTGAGAAAGGAGAATGACATATAAAGAGAACTCTGGTGATTTTCAGAGGGGCTGCTCCTAGAATATTCGGCTGAATACAAAACTGTGAGTCGCAGAAAGCTCTAGGACTAGGTGTCTTTGTTCATAATGCTGTCAAACATTTAAAGAAGAAATAACAATATAAACCCTACTAAAATTTTTCTATTACATAAAAAGTAGATACATGCCAACTTATTTTATGGGCATTACCATAAAAAGAAAATAAAATCTACAAACAAATTATC